GTAGAATGTGGTGATTAGCCTCTCGAAAGTCAAGGAAACACAATGTATGTTACAACTCACAAGCTGCAAGCGCTTAACCTATTTGTAATAAATATCTCGTTGTTCACATAACGTAATGTGTTATGCTGCCAAATTCTAGAAACATCCAAACAAGGCTATTTTTTAATCACATAAAGCTTTGGTTAGATAGAAATACTAGTTTTTGGATTTATGCACTGAATTTCAACTACTTGAAAATGCTAGACACAAACATCTGAAGCAGAAATTGATGATGAGGTCATGCATGCTCACTGCAAGTACATCTGGAAGTAAGACAAGCCAACAGTCTAAACCATTTCCTTTGAACTTGACAAGCACAGAATGCTTCAAGGAACACAAGCCATGAGATGCTTTTACACAAGTTCCAACCTTTCAATTGCACATAAAATCAACTGGAAAATAACCTGCAGAGTCAGAGCACCACCTGATGTGAAATATTGCCATCCAGTTAAGGAATAGATCAGCCCTTTTCTTGAGATGGATCTGCAAAGAGCCTGTGGCTTTTGTATTATCAGGGCTCTTCCTTGGCTGGGATCAAAGCTCAGGTGTACAAATATAGGTGGGGAACAGTTATCATTCTGCAACTCCTGAACAAATGCTCCTCTTCCCCAGCCTCTATCCACAAACAGCAACATTTTTATTCTGATCCCTGAATGGTGTCAATGAACAATATCCTTTGAGGCTTGCCTACAGGCTCAGTGAGACTAGCTCAGAGAGCTGTGACAGATTCCCTCACTGCAGCAAACCAAGGGGCACAGAAAAATTGCTGCCACAAGCTCTCTCATTTTATTAAGTAGTAAGATGAAAAATCTCATCCTCTGTACCTCTTCCCTGCTTTGGCCCTGGAAGATGTGTGGTTTGTTTCCCAGTTCTGCAGGAAATGTTTTTAGAAGATCTACAACATGAAAAATGCTAAGACATGGGTAATAACTTTATTATCTCTAGGTATGGTTTATGTCAGTACCAGTGAATTGGTACCTATATGAATACCAAAACCTGAGGTCATGCCAAATTACTTGCCCAAGGACTGCCTGAATCACTGATAGCAGCAGGACTAATGCAGGTCCTGTTTCCTTTATTTCCTCTCTCAGGTTAGACTTTCAAACAGGCCCTTCAGAGCAGCAAGTGACACAAGAACTGTTTGGTATTTACATTAAAAATTAAATATATTTTAGATTTTAAAAAATATTTTATGGTAAGCATGAAGAATGTAAGAATCACCACTTCAGCAATTAAAATAATATACTCCAAAGTCACTATCTATCAGCATTACATATAGCTAAAGGAAAGTATAATCCACTAGTAACTCAGTAATTATGGAATAGGGCATTAAACATCAGTTTTATATTTGAAAACATGGCCAAAATGAAAAGAAAAAAACCAGTAATTGTTAGCATGCATCATCTTAATTTTCATTTTATTTTTAGGCCAGCTGCAAGAAAGCTCAAGGATCAGGTCAGACAGTTGAAATAATATTTAATCAACCTTGAATATCAGTTGAAAAGGAAAATTTTGATGCAAAGAAAATATAAAATGTATCTAGGATTAAAAAAGCACCAGTTTTCATTGTTTACACTTGAAGACAGGAGCAATAGTATTTAAATTATTTTTCCACTTACAATAATTTTTACAAAGAATATGAGGGAATTAAACTCTGGAAGGGCAGTGAGCCTCAAAATATCCATTGATAATTAACATAGGTAAAGGAATAAAGAGGTAAAAGAAATCTAAAAAAAGATGACACCGAGTTCCCCAGTTCACAAGACTGCACAACAATCTTCAAAAACTCCCAGTTTCCCTATATTTTACAGGCTACTTTGCCTCTAAGTATTACCAGAGAAAAATTCTTAAAGCAAGCTCAAATATATTCTTAAAAGTTGCTGAACAGGCATAAACAAATATTTGAAAGCTTAGTTTTCTCCAAGAGATGTGATTCTTCCAATTATACAAAAACAAGTTGATATAAACAGAACCAGGACAATTTATATTAGCTGTAGATTTTTCTCTTACTAAACTCAGTTACTTCCAGACCATTTTGTACAAATAACTCTGTAAACATGCTGTTAATCCAGCATCCTCACATGAAAGAAGTAACAGTGTTATTTCTAAATGGAAATGTCAAGACCAAGAAAAATCTCAGAAATGAGTGGAATATTTATACAACATATTCCAAGTGAACATCACAAAAATTATTTTGGAATGCCACAGGGGACTTTTCACAGAAAAGTGCTGGAAGAGGTGGGATTTTTTATCTTGCAGTCAACAAGTCAAATCGAATAGGATAGCTTCTAAAAAAATTTTTAATAAAGGTCATACTTCAGCTGTCATAAGGAAGATTTTTAATTAACATCCTAGCAGTCAGCAATTAAGCCTGCACATCTGATAGCTTTACAACATAGACTGGAGAACTGCATCAGACTACAAACATTTATTTACATGGCAATTGCTATGGACAGGAGCTCAGGTGGTTTTTTTTTGTTGTTGTTTTTTTTTCTGTGTTTGTTTCCCTTCCCCCCAGAAAAATCAATGATCTTGTACAAAATTTAGGAAATGCAAAGGTGCTCCTGCCCTGGAAGATTTAACTGTTTCCTGTAATCATATCCAGTAGATGAATGCTGTGCCTGTATTCGAAGTTAATTTAACAGCATCCCCCAAGAGAGACAGCAGAGGCTGTAAGATCATCTATCCCAGGGCATGTATACAGGATGGGGGAAAGCAGAAAGGGTGGAACTTCTGTCTCTCATCATCATGGAAATCATGGCAGCCACAGGAGCATGTATCTTCTCCATAGCTGAAATAGGTCTACATCTATTTGTGAAGAAAACCCCCCTGGTTACTAGTTTGGTTGGGATTTTTTCCTGTAGTAAATATAATATCCCAAGCCTTTAAAGTCATAGCTGTTATGGAGATGATGAACAGAATGTACAGTTTGTAACATTTCCTGTACAGCTCAGCATGGAATACTGCATCCAAGTTTCTTTTCTTCATCTAAAAGTGACATTTCTTTACCTAAAGTGATCATAATTCTAGACACCACAAAGCCCTTAAGTTCCAAAACTCTGACAGCACGCCTGCATCTGTGTTGCTCCTGAGGTGGAGCAGGCATAGTCTTGTTGGAAGCATGGCTGGAAAACCAGCACCCTCTGGCCATCCTCCATGCAGGGGCACTGGAACAGCCCAGAGCAGCTGCCTGAAGCAGGAGGGACATTTCCTGCAGAGTTCACTGCTGAGAGCGTGGCTGCCCCTGGCCAGGAGAGGGTCTGTGCAGGGCAGGCACCTGCCCCTCTGCCGTCACCTGCTTGCCCAAGGCCTTTGCACCTCCCAGGGAGCAGGACTACGGCATTAGTAATTTACTGTACATAAACTAGTGAAGTGTATGCACCTCACCGCCATATTAAAGCCTATCTGTAAATCTGAGGAGCCTGAGGAAATTGCGTTTTGATTTTTCCAATTCTTTGTCTATCAGCAACTTTCTGGCATGGAATAACTTCCTGGAATATTTAAGAAGGGAATCGTTAAGACTGCAAACTTTAAGAAATTAAACAGAACCAAGGAAATTACTAAATGTCCTGTTTAATTTAAGTTATTTCAAAACCACAGTGAATATATTACTTTTCCTTGTTTGAGTCAATAGAATAATGGCTACGTAAGTAACAGTCAAAGCCTGTCAAGGAGAAATTGTGCCTGACCTGGGTACTGGACAGAAAAAAAAATACCAGTTTTCAGTTTAATATCAGGTATTAGGGTAGAAAACATCATGTACCTTGACTTTTCTACCTGATATTATGTAAAAAGCTCTGAGAATGCAGTCCAAACAAAAGCACTGCAAGACATAGGAAAATTGTACTCAAAGGTTAATCAATTGTTCCCTGAAGAGTAAAAAGAAGTATTAGATACCAAAATATAAGTAAAGGCCAGTAACATGCAGCATTTTCATTAATTATTTATAGTAATTAGAGAGTACATTTATTATATTTGCAGATGAAAATTTGCATTATTATATGCATAATAATACATTTATTATATTTGCAGATCTGGCTGAAAAATGCTGCCACCTTGTTGGAGGACAAGTTTAACATACAGACCAAAATTAGAGAAATGCCTTAAAGGGAAAAAAACTGTCAAACACCAAGTTCTGACACCTAGGTAGGAATAAACAACAGAAAATGGGAGAAAGCAGGTTGAGTAACAGTTGTAAAATCAAATCTGGTGCAGAGCAGACAAAGAATGGTGGGAGAAAGGAGAAATTATGACTGCAATCTAAACATGTTAACAATATCAAGCCATGATGGCAAAAAACACCCATAGTCTTACTGCTGCTCTTCCTAGTTTTTGACTACAAGACTCTAGCCTGCCATGTTTTGGTATTCTATACAGACCCAGTCCATTTAGTGAGAGATCAGCATGGAGAAAGCTTCAGGGAAACCTCACAGCAGCCTTCCAGAAGTTTAAGGTGCTGTATAAAAGGAGAGAGAGGGACTTTTTATACAGGCAGACAGCGACAAGACAAGAGGCAATGGTTTTACACTGAAAGAGGTTAGGTTTATATTAGATGTTAGCATGAAATTCTTTACTCAGATGGTGGTGAAAGACCTGAACAGGCTTGTCCAGAGAAGCTGCTCATGTCTTATCTCTGGAAGTGTTCAAGGTCTGGTTGGATGGGGCTCTCAGCAACCTGGTCTAGTGAACTGCATCCCTGTCCTTAGCAGAGGGGTTGGACCTAGATGATTTTGAAGTCCCTTCCAGCCAAACCATTCTATTATCAGGAAAGATACAGAGAAATTGCAAGCAAGTTACAAGCAAGAGAAGACTGAAGGAGCTGGGGTTGTCCAATGTATTGAAGAAAAGGCTAAGGGGAGATTCAAATAACATGCTCTGCATACATGAAGGTTAGCTGCCACAAGTAAGAAAATAAACAGTTGTCCCTGTTAGTGGTGGTTATGGAAAACATGAAACAAAAGTAGTTTATTTTGCAGCACCCTTTTTACTCAATTTCCTTCACAAATCTAAAGCGACTGGAAGATAATATTTTCATGTAAACTAATGAATGTAAAGAATAATGATTCTAAATAAAAGAAAAGCTTTATTATCTTCATGTGTATCAGTTTCATAAGGAATATTTCAAGATGTATCTCAATCAAGCCAGTAAGAAAAATGTTTTAATAAAACAAATCAGCTTGCAAACACATACAGACAGTATTATAAACTAACATTAAAATCACTATCCACTATCACAACAATTTATCCAGAATTTATGATGACATGAAGTTTAGCACCTGAATGAAAATATCAAAAAATTACTAACAATAAAATCATTTAGCTTTGATTAATCAAAGTCCTTTGATTTTCTTACTATTCCAAGAAAAACAGGAACAAGTATTTCCAGATTTTCTTTCATGCCAAATGTTTTCATTTTCCACTTGGCTGAAGTAAGTTACTGTAAATGTTGGACATACATTTTGAAAATTATTATGTATTGTGATCTACCAACATGATCTTTCTATTTGTGTTAAATGCTAGCACCATCTACTGGTCCAGAAGGTCTTTTCAAACTTTAGAAAAAGCTGTGGAAAGTGATCCAGCCAAAATGATGCAAAACGATACTGACAGTAGCATGTAGTTTTTCAGCCCCTGCACAGGCAAAAGAAGAGAAAAAGGAAAATATCATCTTGTCATTATTGTTTTACTTTTTTTTTTCAAGTGGTATCAAAGTACTAAGTTTCATTTAGGTGGAAATTATATGAAAAGAATGAAAGGCTTAGAGAGTTATAAAAGATTTGGGTAATGAACATTATGATCTACATTGGTAGAACACTAATCTGCAGTGGGAAACAGAACTTTTAGTTCTAGATCCAAGTTAGGCACCTATGGATCCTGGATAGATTGGCAAAAAGAATCTGGTGTTACACTGCTATCATCCAGTGCTTCAGATTCCACTAGAAAACTAAGTTCTGCTCTATATGTTAAAATCCAGTAAATTAGCTTGCTGTAGACAACCACTACTGTATCAATTTAGAATCTTTACATTACACTAATTACGAAGGTCATTACAACAATAACATTTCTAATAATAATAATAACAATGTAATAATAATTGTAATTACAATAGCTGTTGCATTTTTACATCCTTTGTAAACCTGACCCTAAAAATGTATCTACTTGCTGATGCATTATTGGGACAACTGCTCACTCCCCTGCTCCACTGAAAGAACTGGCTCAAATGCAAACTGCCTTCAGGCAGTGCCTAGCATCCTGCCTCCTGGCTACAGTCTTCATTTACATCCACTGCCCCTCATACAGCCATGGAACTAAAATCCTCATTCCTATTAAAAATTGTTCACAGTTCTTCAGGTTTCTTGGAAAACTTAATATGGCATGATATCACTTTCAGTTTAATAATGCAATACTTGTAAGGAGGAGGAATCTGAGATACAGCTGTATACCAAGTCATGCTGTCTCTACAGATAGAGGCAAGCAAGAGTTATTAGGTGAGAGACCTAATTACATTACCTTGATTTCCTTAAATACAAGGACTCCCCACATTGCAGCAACAAGGCCAGGACCCTAAAGAATAAGATTAATATGTACATTGCAGCACTTCATTAAAATTTACTCTGTCTCATTACTATTCTCAGGGTGGTTGAATTTTGTCTGCATAACACATTTAAGTCTTTCCATTCTGTATAAATAAAGCACTCATGTCAAAAGCATAAACATCACTGAAATATTTACTAAGTAAGATACAATAAAATCTTCAGGAAGGGCTAAAGAGTCAAGAAATTGTTTTTTTTCAGTAGGCACAACTTCTTTCTACATTACACTGCAGAGTCTGCTCCAGCTGTTACATGTTCTTTCAGTGGACTCCAAATAACATGCCTCACTTTAGTCCAAATTAAGAGTCCACAATGTTTCCTAACATTTCCTTTATTAGCATGACTAACTACTGGACAAAGTTGGATTTTATCACTCAGTAGGTTATCAAGCAACAAACATAGATGTATTTCCTGTATAGCTGGCATCTGGACAAAGCACAAAGCCAGCCAGGGAGACAGGTCAGGGAAACTCCTGATTTTCTGTGATGTTGTCGTAGCCAGGTTTCCTGGCTAACAGCAAACACTGATACACAACAGCAACTTCCAGGCACTCTTGGTAATAGAGTTTTTCCCCTGAGGGACAAAGGACTGGAATTTTCATCTCTCATGAGAAAATATCTGAACATGAAGCAAAAACTGGCTCTGTTAATGCTTTGCATTAGAGCTGTTCTGAGAAACTTGACAGATGTTTGGCCAGTGACCTTCCTCTCTTCATCCTCAATGCAGCTGATGGGACACAGAAGCAGCAAGCAGTGTCTCATGCTGAATATATGTGTGGGTGCTGTTTCCTAGTGACTTTGCCAACTATTATTTGAGGGGTTATTTCACTTTATAGATAATAAGCGCTGTGAGAGGAATGCACTTTGAAAAAAATGGAACAAAGTGTTAAAGGGATGTGATGAATACCTCTCTAAAAATTTTCTCCAGAGTGAAGTAATGCAGCAGTTCTGAACATGTGGTCCAGATAGGCAGTTTCTCATCAATGCTTCCTTTTATTTTTCATTTTGTGATTTTACATCCTTGTCCTTCAGGCATACTGATAACTAAATTACTAAAACTGCTTCCCATTAATCCTTCAATTTCTAATTAGAATGATCCCAAGGTTTTTTTTTCTTTGCACACTGCAGAGTGTATTTTGACTTACTGCATCTTAAGGCAAAGCTTAATCCCTATTAAAGCTGTTTCATTAGTTTGCTCCCAAAATACAGCTGTTAGGCAAAACTTTGGCCTTAATATTTATTAACTCCCATTTGCCACCTTTGTATTACCAACTAGTGCAGTGTCAAGAGAGTAAATGCAAAGTTTACTTTTACCTAGTAATTGGAATTTATGCTTTAAAGGTACATCATGAACAGGAATAAAACAGAGACAGAACAGGCCAAACTATTTTCCACACATTTGCATAAGAACATTATTTTCAATAGTACATAATCTGTTCTGTTTGTTCACGAACTGTAAAAAGAAAAAATTACTTAAGCAAGCAAAACGACTACTAGGGGATAAAATTCACAAATTCAAAAACATCCAGACCAAAATGTACTTCCTGGGATGAAAGCATAAAAAATTCTTCTTAAAATCACTTCAATTAGTTAATATTGATATAATTCTGTTTACAAAGCTTTGGCTTTTACATAACCTGAAGACTCACACTCTCAATTCATCTAGTTTTTCTTATGCTTGACATTGACCAAGGTGGTGCTTGTCACAGTCATTCATGTTCCTAAAAATCCAAAGATTAGTGCAGACAAGCAGAGTAGGCACTGCATAATTTTGACTAACAATGCTCTAGACCCATCATAATTTCAACTGAAATCCAAAGACAGAAGGGTAAAAAAACCCATTCACTTTTAATTCTAGTTAGAGATTTTATTTTTTATATACTTACTGCAGTAATTATTGGAAAGCTGACGACAGCACTGAGATAGTGATTGGCCAGGAACCAGCAGCAATTGGCTATTGCCCAAAGCACACCAGAAACAAACCCTAGAAAAATAAATCCCAATCAAAAACATGCATAGCAAGGTATGGGCTGCAGTTTGTGGAAGTTTCATACTTGTAGCATAATACAGCAATTGTATAGAAGTAGTTTAGTACATTAACTACTTTAACAAGCTGGCTCTGCCAAACTAAACCAAAGCTCAAAGAATAAAAATCAGCTACTCAAACTGAAGTAGCAAATCAATTTATTATTTTCTGGGCAATGTGCTCTCCATTCTGGCAATCAGTTTTTGAAAATCTGCAATGTCACTTTGTTCTCTTTTCAGATTAGAACAAAAGTTACTGCTGTCTCCTACCCTTAATTAAGTAACCTAATAGTGCTCTTTCAAAAGAGACAAGAAGTCAAATGAAGATACTTGAAAGGTGAACATAACTTGAACTAATCACTGCAAAATGGTCCAAAAAAGTAGCTGAAGTGAAATGCTGATTTAAAAACAGTCATACCTGGCAATATGGCTTGGGGATAAACGTAAGGTTTATTCTTCCTGACTGCACAATAGATCAAAAAGTAGACGGTACTTGTAAGAAATATTCCACTGAAGTGTGCAAAAACGTAATCTAAATCTGGAAGAGAAATTACAAAATGTTAGTAAAAACACCAGTTATTAATTTTAACAAAATTATATTCACTGATAACATTTATATAGACAAAAATGCACAAAGGTGCTACTCCTAAGAATTCAAATTCAAATCTCATTGTGCTGAACACAGCTGCCAGTCTGTGGATGCATACAATCAGTGACACCTATTAAACATGAACTAAATGCTGAGTTGACTTATTACAGGCTTCTAAACATTTCTATGAGCTGTTATTTTCAGAACTCTATTACATATTCCTGAATTAACTTAATACAACCTTGAGAAAATCCACAGGTGAGGCTACAAAACTAGGTAGGGTATTCTACATAATTGTAGATGGTCAAGAGAAGTTGTAATTATGTTCCTGTATCCTTGTTTTGTTCTATACGTTTAAAGGCAAGACTGTACAGACTATGTAAGCTATATATAGCTCAGTTTTGTCCTTTTTTAATCTTGAAGGATGTATCATAATTTTGATCACTATAATTATGAACAATAACAAATCCTTTATGGATTTTGTACATGCTAAGAGCGTATTTCAAACTTGGTGAAGCAGAAGCACGTAGCAAGGTGATCCTTGTCTCCTTGGAGCTATAAATTCTCAACAGGAAAGGCAGTTATGGTAATGACAACATCTGTTTTGCCTGGCTGGGGAATACATACACTGCAGTATTCAAGAGAAATTGTATATGACAATGGTGACATTATGTGTTCTCAGCAGTACTTTGCTCTTAAGGTGCTTCAGGCATTACCTGATAAGAGCATAACCTTAAGGAAAACGTTTCTGGGGGAATGTTGTTTGAAAATGGCAATTAGGCTTATGTTAAACGGTTTCAATTTAAAAAACCAACATGGTTTTAATTACTTATGTTGTTACATGTCTGCTCTCCTCATCTCTTATGATCAATCTTCTCTTCCTTTATTGCTGTTGGCAACTGGCAAGCTCATGTGCTCATTCTCCACTCATACAAACTCTGTATTTTGAGAATGCTAGTATTTAATGCCTTCAGAAACATACCTGTGAGTTAAGCATGGTAGTCTTTGGGCTGCTTCCCAGTGTTTTTTATGGTGTAATTAACCTCTGAGTAAAAGGGAGTGCTAGGGCTATGATTATGACAACATCTAAAGTAGTGCAGAATGGATAAATTGTCATGGTATATTTTCAGGCATATCAAAAACTTCACCCTATGCCTTCAAAAAAGGAGGAGAACACAATGATGAAATGAAGTAAAGTGATCTATAAGCCTTTACCAAACTGACTTGCTCCTGTGTATACAGTTTCATTTCTTCTTCCATGGTCCTTGATGTAAAGTACTGGTACAAAACTGGAACCATAGAGTATTCCAGCCACTACAGCCAGGCTACAGCCTCTTTAAAAGAACAAAAATAGGAGAAAAATAGCCTTGCATGAGTTAAGGAAGTAGACAACATGTGTAAGTCCAGTAGTGCACATAAAAACTGTGCATCATAGAAAAATTGCTAGCCATAAAAATAAAACATCTTAGCACATTTTTCTTTTCTGGTCGAGAGGTGGTTCATGTAGTTTCCTCCTACTTTGTAGCCAAACAACACAAACAATGCCTGCTGCAAAAGCCAGCAATCTAGATTAACGACACAGGAAATTAAATAACTAGGATTTCCTAAAAGCAGAGCTAGGGGACAACAAACAAAAATTCAGTTGAAAATGCTCCCACCCTCACCTTTGTTGTTGCCATCTATATACTCTTTATAATTTTCCAGGTTCATTGACTCTTCAGTTTGCTTCTCCATCTCCAGATTGCTGTACTCTTGGCAGTCTCCACTCCCCACACAAGGCTTCTTGTTGGCTTGCTTCCACTTTGAAGCACTTTTACTGTGTCCTTACCATGCTGCCATCCCTTCTCCAGCTGTGTTCACTTGGAAACCACACCTGGAAGCATGTCATTAGCACAGGCTTCTTCTATGCTAGAGTGCTAATCAACTAGGTCCTAAAACCCAGCTCTGTAATTACTGAGTTGATATTGTTATTTCCTTTGCCAAATGATATTTTTCACAGTAGTACCTAATACCTGATTGGTAAGGTTAGACACACTCAACAGTGCCAATGGAATAATCTAAATAGTTGTGCAACTATTCATATACAGATTTGCACACTACACTTGTATGTAAAAACCTGTCATTTATTGTGTGACTTTGCTAGGAAATCACAAATTCTGCTCTTACACTGTATTTAACTACTTTCTCTGGCTACTTTCTATGCATCAGCAAAAGAACTGTGAGCAACTTACGTGAGTCTCCTTTTAGCTGGAGAAAGCTTGCTCACCCATGAGTCCTCAGTGGTCTCTTCAGAAACATTTATAGACTGCAAAAAACCAATGCAAATTTAGTTTATTTTGATTTCTTAAAACGTGCAATTTTTTAAGAGTCTTCTGTGATTCAGTCTGGTGGACCTGAACATCTAGTGAGCACTGAGCACAGCTAGAAAACTCTCAGGGCTCTATTCAGGCAGCACTGACCTCCAGCAGGAAGGTACATTAATAGAAGGAGCCTGTAGTTCTCCAGCTCTCCTTGCATACTCTGGGCTCCCTAAGGAGCAGACAGCCAATCTGGTACCCCTCACTGGCCTCCAGCCTGTGCCACAGCTGATGACAGTCAGCAACTCTTGGCAGCCTCCTGGCTCTGCAACAGGGCAAAAACCCGGCCTTTCACCTAAGCACCCTCACAGCTTTACAGCTAATGTTTGAATGAAATTGCTTCCTCTTTTCATGTAAGAAAATAATACACTCTTCTATATAATCTCCATCATAATGAAGAAGGACTTTCTAAGCCATCTAAAGCTGACAAACAAGAAAGAACAATTGGGAATATCTTTTTTCTTGCTAATATCAAAAATGATGTCCAAGATCCCCAGATTAAGATACAATCAGTACATATTTGTATTGTTTTATGTAGTCTATCAAATCCTAGCAAACTTGACTAACAAACATTTTTTGTTTTAAAATGGATCTGTATTTTCACTGCTGTAAAATAACTGTAGAGTACTTACACTTTCTCTCAGTAAAGGTGTGCTTTCTAATGAAGTTGAAGAACTCTGGACTTCAGTTTTTATAAAAAGAAATATGACAGCACTCAGAAGAGAAAAATACACCAATAAATACCATGTCAGTTATAAGAACATTTAGTGTCCAGAGACAAAAGCTTTATTTTGAGGCATATTCCTTTGTTTTCATTATTACCCTAGAGTCACTGCAGTATATTTAAAAACGCAATTCCTTTAAAGTCATAACTTACTATGATTATATATACATAAAATATGTAAATGTAATAATTTTGAGTTATTAATTTTACTTAGCTAAAAGATAATCTAAGTGAAAGTAAGTAAATCAATTTTTGTTCACTTTATAGATCTTTCTTCTTATGTAATATTATTGAAACATCATCTTTTAACAGTATGTAGTTACAACCATATTAACAACAGATGCTTTAGCTAACAGTGCTCTTTTGTACCATACCCCACACAAATGGAATACATGGTTGAAAATTCTATATGGAACAGCTTAAACCTGCATAGAATTGCCTCTACATTCATGAAAAAATACTAATGTTTAGTCTTCCATCATATGTGATGAATGGGATACTGCTGCTACAGGGCCTTGTGAGCATACAGAAGGAAAAGGGATATTGCTCAGTGCATTAAGTGAATAAAATGGAGAAAAAAGGGTAATATTACTACTCTTAACCTTGCCTCCAGGAGACCAGGTAAATACCTGCAATCAGAACTGCAAGGATCTGTTATCTACTTTTATGAAAAAACATTTTAATGCCCTAGGAATTTCTCCTCCTAGCTGTAAACGGAATATTTCCATTTGAAGGCGGATTCATTTCTTACTGATGGAATAAGCATAGTTATACAAGGATGTCAGTTTCCTCCAGAGGAAACAAAGATTTCACACAGGAAGCTAAAATGAAAAGCCTGTTTCTGGGCTCCACAGAGCAACATGCACAGGCTTTGTGCAGTTTGCCAGGGAAACATGTCTGCTCACAATCCCTCTCCCTGCTGGTCACTCCTCCATGATATCTCAGAAACAGGAAGCAGGTGGTGATCTACATGAATCCATCAGGCAGGAATAGCAGTACTGCTGCTATTTTCTCAGTACCTCCCAAAATCACGTGCCACATGTAAGAGGAATGGATACAAAGCTGCAGACTCTTAGAAAAGAAGGAAAGTGGAAGCCAAAATCATGAATCTAAGGCAGAAGCTCTGTCCTACCAGTCAGAAATGGCTTATTTTCATGTTCTTAACACCCTCCTTTTTTGAAAGGCATTCTGTTAATCTTCTGCCAGCATGCTTACAGTAAGCCTTTGGATTTAGGGCCATCTTCCCAGCCACCCAGCTGGAAAGCAAGAACACTGCTACATAACAAAGATCCTCTTTCCTCTGTGTTTGGACCAAAACAATACGCATTCATACAAAGAGCAAACAAGCAAAAAGAGAGAATAAAGTCCTTCCAAAGATCCTGAAGGAAGACAATGTGTGGGATTTGGAAGTGTGGCTTAAGACTTACATGACACAGAGCTATTACAGACAGGAAAACATGCAAAGCCTCTGGCCTTCCATGGACCTTTAACTACCTGGGAAGGGGTTCTGTGGCATATTCTATTGTTATGAGATTAAGATTTGTAGCCCTGACTGAGTGAAGTGAGATCAGAAATCTAAGGTTTTCTCAACAAGATTCTTTTAGTCAGTCTGTCCTCTGACAGGATCTGGGGAAGTCAACCATTAGAATAAGCTAGGAAGAGAGGCAATCCATGCAACTCTGCTTTGCCTTGAACATGCGTACCAGCAAAAAAATATATTTTTGTGTTTATGGATAACCATTTCACCCCTGTTCTGGATAACATGTCTGTTTCTACATGAACACTGACCAACTAGGTATGGATAGCTCACGAATTTGGAAGTATATGGATTTGCCAAAGATTATTCAATATATTTGTTCCCTTGTTAAAGCATCCTGGTGGTTGGTTATTAAATATGTATTCTACATAACATATTAATTATAAGAATCAATTTCTACCTTATAAGTGAAAGTCCAGCTCCAATATAGTTTAAGATTGGTCTTGATACCTCTTCCGGGTCAATTCCAAACCAACCAAACCTGGAACATTTAACCAGTTTCACTTAGATGCATGGGCTCTATACAAATAGCTAAATTATAACCTAGTCCTTGAAGTCTTGATTCATGTAAATAAATCTGCCTAAGTAAGTATTTTTAGTATTAAATCAGTGCTTCAGTTGGCTTGCAAAAAACGTCTACTTTACAAAAACAACCTTTAATTTAACATGCATTTTTAAAAGATAAATATTTAAGAACTGAAGTTATTTTATCAGACCAGATTGCAGAAGAAAAAAAATACAAATATGTACTAGTTTTACATGAAGAAATTCATTATTTATTGACTCAATCATATCACTGGGCATTTTTCTTTCTATTAAAACAGAGGAAATACAAAAAGCTAAAACAGTTAACCTGACTACTTTCCACGAAGAAGGAAAAAGTTTTAATATATAGGATAGTGGTAGACTTAGCAGCACTACATTAATGGCGGAGTTGATCTTAAAGGTCTTTTCCAACCTGAATGGCTATGATTCTACAGGTGAGTTCTCACTTATAAATGCAGACTTGGCAACATTAATGATGTTATTAATTAATGACTTAAGATTTAAAACATACTTACCTTGAACTTGCCCAGCCTGTTAGCAAATTAAAAGAAGCCCATATCAAGAGACCAAGAGCTAAGCCAATAGTTTTAACAATAGGGACAACTGTAACATTGCCTGAAATACAAAAACCAAAACTGAAATCAGTAAAAACTAGAATGTGATCTTCTATATGTTCACTTTCAGTTCTCTGCCTGGTTGGAAGGCAAAGAAATTTAGGAAGCTACAAGGCAGTATGAAACAATATTTTCAAAAATAAATAAACTGAACATAGACTTTTCCCCCATATAGTTTTAAATGTTATTTTTGGTGTGAATTTGCCTCTTATAAAATAAGCATAGTAAAACAGTATTTACTATAGGGGTACAGTTCCATTAACAGTGAGGCTTTAAAGAACTGAATAACTATTAAATAACTAATATCTTATATATGGAAAAGTTTCAAGAATTGGAATCTCTTTATCCTCACCTGTAGCCCACACAAAACCTCCAACCATAGCCAGGGGCCAAAACCGGGGGCAATTCTGGATCAAATTGACCACCAAAGAAACTATCCATATGGAGGCACAGAGAATCCACTGGAAAAACATGCCTGAGGAAAAATCAAATGCACACAATAGGGAATTTGTAGAATACTGCCTGTGTGAATATCTTAACAGTTTATGTTTATCTTTGATACACTAGTAGATAAAAAAACCCAAAAAGATGGCCACTGCCTTTGTGAATGCTGGGAACCTTGTTATAATTTATTCAAGGGATGTATTTTTAGGGTGGGTTATAATTTGGTTAACCTTTTCCTTATCACGAATTCTTCCTACAGAATTGCAAAAGACACTTTGCTGGCCAAAGTTCACACAAGCCCTAATTCTTAAACACATGAAAATTTTGATGGACTTTTGACAAAGGTCATAGTCAGTTGCTGTAAACTTCTCCCACCACTCCAGTAGCTGCTAACACAGAGGACTGGACAGGATGAGACTTTCAAAGCTCAAGCTCTTCTGGTAATCCCAGACACTGAGGATGGTCAGTAACAGATCTCTTCTACCTCTGTATATTCTTGAAGGGTAGTATTCAATTAGGCAGACCAGTTAACTTTATGCCCAAGCTTGTCTTGTTAGGGTCATATTTGGCATAAAGAGCAGAGGCTATATCCAGCCTGCAATGCAGGTACCATATTACAATAACAAAATGGGAAATTTACTCATTTACAGATCTGATAATTGGTTATGCTTCATATAAACATGAAAATTTCCTCTGAACAAGTCAGCAAATAAAATAACTAAAATTTCAGGTTTTGTTTTTATGTTAGGCGCACAATTGAAAGGTAATGCTCCAAAGTCCAATAACTTTTACCTCATGTATAAATAACACTTTATGTATCTGATAATCCCCACAAGGGTAGAACAAAGAACATTGCACCTTCCATTGTGAATTCTCATGAAATGTACATCATCACTGTCAAAGTGTACAACTTATGAAAAGGCCCTTCTCAAGATGTGCCACATCCTGAAGCAGTATTTCTGCTTTATACCCTAGCAACAGCATACAAAATTGAACATACTCTCTGGATTAAGGCTGTGATGATGGCCTCTAGTAATTTGCTGGTAAAATATTATTCTTTTAAGCAAAAATAGCCAAAGAAAATAATATAATTAAGTTTACCATCACCAGTATCAAATTTCTTGACAGGCACAAAGTTTGTCCCAAACAGAAGGACAGCTACTGTGGAAGAGGTAAAGCCAATAGCTAGATCTGTTCCATTGCTGATGTTAGCAGCACTGTAAGCTTTCCCAATATTCATCTTTGTTCTGAAGGTGTTTCTTTTTGTGGAGTTGTTTTGCTGCAGGTCCAGGCAGAATCTGGAATCAAAGAGTGGAATTAAGTACGTCGACTATTAATTAATACCAACCTGGTTTAGAAATCTGAAACTTAAAGGACTCTACTTATCAATCTCTCAAAGCTGCTATGAACTGCAAAGAGGTTAATGCAGAAAAGGTTCATGTAGAACCCCATGAAAACCAGACAAAAAAAACATTAATAAAATGACTTAAGAACAGTTAAAGAAACCCCCAATATTGTATGCTTTATCTGAAGACAAGAATGTAGAGGTGCACTCAAAGGTTATGAATCTGTGAGGGCTATGGGAAGCACTGATGCTTTAGTGAGATGCTATCAGAATATTCCTTATTCACATAGTCAAAGGGGGAGGTCACAATGGGGTGGATCAAAAATGGGGTTAGACAAAAATCTCAACTGGCAGAAGCATTTACAGCAGACCCATTGTCAAGAAGTCAGGAACAGGTGCAGAGATTCTATAGGTGCCACAGTGAGATCAGTATGGAATCATAAGGGAACCACAGGGATTGCTCTAGCTAATACTAAATATGAATAAAGGTTCATTTTTCTGTGGGGAAGCAAAGGGAGAAGCTGCCTCTAAAATTTCCTCATTCATTCCACATAAGTTTAGTAAGAAAGGCAAAGATTGTTTTAATCCCAGAATATCTGACTTTTTTTAAAGTGAGTCATCTTGAGGTTACACTCAACAGATGAGCCCACACATGCACTTTTGATATGGAGTATCACTTTGACAGAAAAGGTGTCTCTGAGGACAACCATAAGAATGTCAACTTTGTGTACCTAACTTTCCAAAACTTGGGACACTTTGTTCCAAATCTGGCTAAATTTCACACCCAACTTTCAACTCCATTTCAAATCCTTCAAGAGAAAGCTTCATCAAACAAGGCCTGAAGCAACCTGCTCTAACTTTGATAACAGCATTGCTTTAAGCAGGGAATTGAACCAATGACCTACAGAGACCCCTTCCATGCTAAATAATTCTAATATTGTATGATCAAATGATCAAGAGCAAATAATAAATTGTTACACAACATTTAGCCAACTATATTTTTTTTCTACATGCTTTCTACATCAGAGAGCTCCTGGGAGTTCACTAGAAGCCTCTTCTCTTCAATCCTATGTTATTGCCAGATGGACTTGCATATGTCCCTCCAAAGACTTAAGAGGTAACAAATGCCAAAACCAGAACAAATGCCAAATGCTGAAGCTGCTATGCTCTTAAAGCATAACGATTGTATCTGAAACTCAAGCAAAGGTAGCTGCAATTGATACTATTATTGAAGGCTTTTTTTTCAATAAGTTGTCCTTCCTGAAAGGCACTTCAGGATTCCCAGCAGCAGAAAAAATACAATTTTGCTGTTAGATGTTGAAATATTGTTGGCACACACTGCTCTTTTCCTAAGTTCACTGGTTCACCCCACTGGAGTGCTGTGCTCTGCATTTCCACAATTCCCTCAGAAATATGGCACTCACAACAAACCACGATGCTCACTCACTGGAACAGCAATGCATCACTGTGATCTCTGCAGAGGGACAAAATCAAGAGGCCCTGTCTTTGAGAGCCTTCACCTCAATGGTGAACCAAATTGTTGCTAAGATTCTAAAGAACCTCTTTGCTAATTAAGTGGGGTTTTTTAAATGCTGCCTGTCCTACTGACTGTTTATTTGCATATTTCTCCTATTATCCATTTACCATTAAGGGTGGATACCTTCACCCTCAACTTAGGGCACTCCTATGGGTTCCAAGGTGGCTCAGATCAACGTGCCAAAGCGACACCATAACCCTTACTCCAGCAATGTATCTTTGCTTCCCTGGGGTGAACTCTTTTAAAAGAGAAAAAGGGGCACTGTTTTCTCTAAGTGCTATCACGGAACAAGGAAAACGCTCAGCTGAGAGCTCCACCCGGGCCGCTGGGGCTTCACTGACGCCACCGCGCCGGGTTTGCGGCGAGGCAGGCCCGGGCTGCAGGCGGGGCCCGGCCCAGCCCTCGGCCCCGCACCCCAAGAGGATACCCGAGACCCCGCTCCAAGCGGACGCCTTCCTTCCTTCCCCCAGCGCCCTGTGCTCAGCGCCGCGGCGGGTTTTAGGGCGCTCCGCTCCGGGACGGAAGGCGGCCGGGACGGGCCCATACCAACAGATCCCCGGTCCCGTCCCTCCGTGCGGCCTCGGCTCCGCCGCCCCTCCGCGCCCACGCCCGCCGGGACTCGCGCAGCGCCGCTCACCGCGGCCGCCCGCCCGCGCCGGTACCGCCCCGCGCCTGGGCCCCGCCCGCCTCCATCCGCTTCTGCCCACTGGCCTCTTCTTCCCCGTCCGGGAGCGGGGCGGAGGCGAGCCGGGGGTGGTTTTCCACTGCCTTTGTCTCGCCGCCATGGCAGCTTCTCATCTGGCGGGGAATTAATGCACTCATGTCGTGATAAAAGCGCCTTTGGTCCTCCCGGCCGTAAGCGCGCGGATGAGACAGTCCCTCCCGAGTGGGAAGTGCAGCTTGTGGACTCCACAGGCCGGTGGTGCTGTGACCGTAACGGAAGAGTCACAGAATCAATCAGGTTGGGAAAGGCCTCTGGAGATCATCGAGTCCAACCTGTGACTCACGACCACCACGCCAGCTAGACCCTGGAGTGCACTAAGTGCCACATCCTGTCTTAAACACCTCCAGTACCTCCCTGCGTTCATTCCAGTGTTCAGTCACGTGTGTCACATCCAGTCTTCAACACATCCAGGGATGGAGACTCCACCACTTCCCTAGGCGCAAATCCCTATATTGAAATGTTTTCTGTGAAGAAATTCTTCCTAATGTCCAGCCTAAACCTCCCCAAGCTGAGCTTGAGGCTATGCCCACTCATCGTGTTGCTGGTTGCCTGGGAGAAGAGGCCAACCCCCACCAGGCTATAGTATCCATTCAGGTGGTTGTAGAGAGCAGTAAGGGCTCGCCTGAGCCTTCTCTTCTCCAGGCTAAACACCCCCTGTTCCCTCAGCTGCTCCTCACAGGACTTGTGTTCCAGAAAAGGCACCCGAGTTTTGGCAGCATTTGCCCAGGAACACAGACGTGGTTCCAGGATGGGACCCCTTGCTCCCGAGGGGACAGCACGGCCTCCCCGCAGCTCCCCTCGCTCCCGAGGTCTCCCTGGCTGCTGAAGGCTGTCACGGGGCTGGGGGCTGCAGGCACCTGCAGAGGGGACAGGCATCTTGGGAGAGGCAGGGACATTTCGAGGCCATGCAACAGCTGCTAGCCCTGTGGTGTTGTCATTATAGTGCAAGAGGTCTATTGTCATTACATTGCAAGGGTTCCATATTACTAGAGTTTCATACCTCCTTGATGTTTCTTGTAGGCAGCTCCTCTAGGCACTGACTCTGCCTTGTCCTCATAGCAGCCAACTGACTCCAGTTCCCCCCAGCCAACCAATCCACTCTTTTATAACACTCTTCTTGCTGGCTACAGCTGTGCCTGTTAAAATCGGGCCTGCTCCTAATCTTTAATAATTAACCCAGCTGCAACTCTTTAGGGGGTAAGATTACTTTCTAAACTACCTTTATTTTCTTATATTGTATCTCCCTACACTGTGGTGTGCAGCAACTCAAGGAAACCACCAAGCCTGGTCAGGGCATCCAGGTTTTTATTTTTCTTAAGCACAAAAATTACCAGCTGTTGGTCTGGAAGCCCCTGTGTTGTTTGGCAAGCAAAATCAAGTAGGAAAAAAATCTTTTACATGATGTCAAGAAGAAGTCTTTGCAGATTTCCCTGTAAGGATTTGATCTGGACCAGTTAAAGCACAGACTATTAGTCAGCATGTTTAGTCACAAAGCAAACATTTCTCTCTGCACTCTTGAAGTACAGTTTCCAGATGGCAGCCCAAATTGATCTCCTTACAAACACAGCACGAGCCTTCTAAAGTAATGATTCATATTCTGCAAATCAAATCTGCATTATCCATAATAAGGGCTTACTTTGTTTCTCTGGAGAATAAGTTGTCAGTCGTATGGATTCAGTAAAGCTAGGAATGCACCATTTATCAATCATTTTAACATAAATGTCTGTCCATGTGTCATTTAGAGATGGATAGCAGAACATCTCTATGGAAACAATATGGCTATAGTGCATCTAAGAGAAATAATATCATAACCACAACGGTAGCATGCAGAAAAAAGAATTCTAAGGGCAGTGTAAGTATATGTGTTGTGTTATTTTATTCTGAAAAGCAGTGATGGGAAAAATGTTAACCTATTCCATTGAAGTGCCTGCACATGGAAAGCAAGAGCACACACATCAAGGAGCCTAGTCTGTAGCCACATCCTTTCAGGTGCCCAGGGATAAAGTCAACATGAAGGACCTTGTGACTGCTGGGAATTGGCACACTCCACCTGTCTCTGCAAATTGGCCAGAGGCCTCCTGCTTGGAGCAGTGCAGGCCACCAGCTGCTTCAGATTCTGCAGCTTGTCCACCACCAGCAGAAAACCTCTTCAAATGCAGGTGGAGGTGAATTTCAAAGTTAAACAAAAAACAAAACAAAACAAAGAGGGGAAAAAATAAAGAAAATAATTGCAAACAGTTAATCCAGCTATTCATTTACATGAAAAAAGTATACCTAGGTCTGTGAAGGACTAGAAAATACTTCTTTAATTTCCCTCTTCCATTCTTTGCTATTTTTCTATATTAGTTTTTATATGCTTTTATTCCTTACCTTAGGAAGATACAACACTGACCATGAAACATGAGTATATGAAGAAATTACATGAAAAGCTGAATTTAGTGGATGCAGATGGCAATATCACAGTTATAGTTTAGAGCAAGGAGCAAATACAAAATCTGACAGATACTACAGGCTAGCTGTAGGTAGCAAAGTGAAATAATGCAGGCCAGAATTTGGTCAGACAGCAACTGCTGTTCTGAAAGTTTGTCTTAAATATTTTATCACCACAGAGGAAGTACTGTTTCAGCTTGGTAGTACTCTTTAGTGCTTTGCTGTAGCTTTGGGTTAGAATGATTCCAGAGAGAAGAATAGTACCCACTTGAACAAAAACCATTTTCTTTGTTTCTTGTGAAACACGATGGAATGTTTTTTTTTCCAGAAAACTCCATAGTTTTTTTTCCAAACAACTCAGCCTTCCTTATTTTATAGTATCTGCTAGGCCACTGGAGCTGTACACCACAGGGGCTGAAAAAAAAAATCACTTGATATTTTGCCTTTTAAGGATCCAAAATTAGAGGCAAACATTTGTTAAACTAGCAAGGTACTGTGTTCTATCTAGTTTATTTTCTACCACCATCCATTCCAAAGAACATACCAGTACCTGAGTTCTCTCTTCTGAACATGATAAATAAAGGAACTACCACTGCTATTATCACATAGAAAGCCTCAAAAAAACCCAGCAGTCAACACTGTACATCAGTATGTACACCACATTACAATTTCAAGGCTACAAATGAAATGAGAAGTGAAGAATGACCCTCCATATCCTTTTATAATTTCCTTCAGATAATATTTAAAGACTAGCAGTAGAAAGAATACTTAGATTACAGAGAATTTCAGAGAATTGTTACAGCAGAGGAGTGCTGTTAGTGACTGGAATGTAGAGTGCTTTGGTGCTGCTTGGTTCTAATAGACAGGTGCTGTGTACTTGCAGGAACTGGGCATTTGAAAACAACTGTTGCAGTGAGATGCATTTCCAACTCAAGCAACTTGTCTGAAGATTTTGGAATAAATTCTCGTTATTTGGGGTATGTCCCATCAGTCAAATTTGAACCAAAACAAGAAAGAAGAACTGAAGTGGATGAAGAGATTTGTTACAATCTCAATTCCTCCAAAAACTCAGATTTGGAAAAAATAGGTCACAGGGAGGCTCTTTTACTGTTAATGGGCATGGATACTGCAGTTTTAACTTGACAGTACATATTTAGACAAAAAGTAAGGATAAATGATAAATGATGGCTTGTGAAAAAAAAATACACTCAAAAATTTTTATAAATTAATATTGGACCAACATGAAACATAAACTAATTTCTTAACTATTCTTTAGTAGAAGCTATGGAGAAGAGAATATCTCAATTCTTTGAATTACAGTGAACATATACATTTTATTATTTTATACTTAGACTAGGAAAGGAGTCAGATGTCAGAAGTTTGCCCTTAACTTCTGTCTGCCCCAGCTTTTCCAGCTGTACAGGGACTCTGCTATGCCTTGCTCCAGAAAGCGCAAATAGGAGACACTCCTGAGCTGTTTAGTAGCAGATTAAGAGCATTTTAAAAGTGGCTGTTTTTTCACTTCTCACCACATCAATATATGATTCTCAAAAGTTCTAAAATCCAGGGAGTGGGTGGTATTTCACACTCAAAAAAAACCCCAAAAAATAAATGCAGTTAAGGGAGTTTCTTTAGTACATTTGCATGCAGTGCACTAGAGGGCTCTCAGGAGTTAGAAATAGATGGAATGCACTTTTGAAAGGCACATACTTCACAGGACTTTTCATTACAGAATTTAAAATAGAAGTTGCTGTGGTTTTGTGTGTGGGGTTGTTTGGTTTGGTTTGGTTTTTTTTTTTTTTTATAACATGAGGTTCATGTAAGTTTACAGCAGTTTATATGCAACCATTTCTCAGTAAAGTTAGCTTCTCAACAGTTCCTAGCTTGCAATGAAATACCTAAATTTGAACCATACTTAAAAGTGAAATATGTTCTAGATGCCAGCTTTTACTCAGTTACTTTTATTAACCTAAGGAGACTACCAGAACAAAGGATGTGTGAAGCTGAATAGGTAAGAAATTTTATTTTTATAGCAATCTGTATGTAATGTGCACCTATTCTTTGTTTCTTGGAAAGGATATATAAGCCACTGTCATTTTATTTTTAAAACTTTAGCTAGATTCTTTTTATGGCTTCACAAGAGTGAAGAGAATTAACCATCTTTCAATTTTAATGTGTATTTATGAATTATGGGAACTATATTCATAGTCAACTAGGGAAATTTGGCACTGCTAATACATTTTTATATCAGTGAATATGTGCATATTTAACTACTAGTGACTGGTTCATATTTGGATCATTTACAGCATTTCCATAACATGAGGTTTAGTGAAGACTTTGTCTTGTAAGAAAAAGATAATGATCTGGATTTGACAAGCATTTCTTCTAATGCTGAACTACATCTAGCTAGATTGAAAATTGAGCCTGTATTTAATGGTTTTGGTGTTTGATTTATACTGTAATGAGAAAGTAAAAGATTTATCCTGACAAATTCCTACATGCATACTGTCTCATCTAGAACTTCTTTTCTCTGAAAAATATAGAGCCACAGATGCTATGTGTGAGTAATGAAAGGAAATGCTACTATTTTCTTTTTGCAGTTTGCAGAGAAGATACATAGATCTTTTAGACTACAAGTCAGTAAACTTTGCTTATGCAGCTGGCTCCATTCATTCTCTGAAGCCAATCACTTCCTCTGTGGTGGCTGATAAGAATTTACAGTTTGAGAAGGTGGAGTGTCAGCATCCTTAGTGCTGACCACTTTCCCAGGCATATCAGTAGCCTCTGTCCATCATCCATGCTGGAAGCTACTTGGAAAAGGAGAAATAGAAATTGGGGAAGAGAAATAATGCATCATCATCCTGGCTGGGATGTACAGAAGACTTTATGCTGTTTTCATCATGTGGATTCACTAGAGAAATGACCCCTTTTGATCAGCCAAGTAAAATCAAAAACTTGTTTATTTGCTGCCTGTGGCACTCACGGCTGCTGAGGCTCTGGACTTGCAGGCGCCCGAGGACAAGGAGGAATCTGCTCGTGGGCACTGCCTGTGTGATCTACCTGGGATTCCTTGTCAGCCAAGTGGGTCACGTTTTACCGCAGCACAAAGGAGGACATCAAAAGATCAGTTCCAGGAGTCTCCAAGATGCAGCTCAAACTCCTTTTCTGGGCATCCCACTGGATGGCACCCTGTCACCACCCAATTTCCAGGAACCCCAGCTTGGTAGCAATGGGACCTTGCTGCCACCCAATGTAGTTTATATCACCCTGCGGTCCAAGCGCAGCAAGCCCGCGAACATCAGAGGCACCGTGAAGCCAAAACGCAGGAAGAAAAATGCAATCCCTTTGTCCTATGGGCAGCACTTTCCAAAAGCCACTTTTATGGGCTGGGAAGAGGCCTTTGCCCAACAGCCAGGGCGGGCCACACGTGCCACTGGCACCAAGGGAGCAGCGATCCCTCTGGAGGCAAGAAAGTACCAACTGGATGAACACGGGCATAAAGGAATGGCTATCAGGGAGAGAGGTCACCAGAGACCTGGGAGGATTTCTGGAGCTGTAAAGGCACAGCTCCAGCCTGAGGAAAGCAATATCAGGATTTATAGTGAGAGCCCTCCCTCATGGATGAGCAAAGATGACATCCTAAACATGCGCATGCTGGCAGACTCTCCCATAGAGAGCATTCAAGAAGTTCCTTCACAAAAAGCAGTCCTGGCAGTATTTGCAAGAGGTCCCAGCACTACAGGAACTGCTTGTAATCAGGGACACTGTGGAATTGTCAAAAGACCTCTGGACATGAGTGAGGTATTTGCCTTTCATTTGGACAGGATCTTGGGGCTAAACAGGAGCTTACCTTCTGTAAGCAGGAGATCAGAGTTCTTCCAAGGTAACACATTTGTGTGGTTTTCAGCATCTGCAGGTGGGGTGCAGAGGTTTCCTTCCCTCTTGGTGTTAGCCATGGGGCAGCAGCAGCCACCCCCTTTAACTCCTGTGAGCCTGAGCACTAACCCCATTGTTACAGGGAAATAAAGCCAGTGTATGTGTGTAACTTCTGCAGTGCAGTTATTCTGTCCAGAGGATGAATTCCCCAAAGTTTGCTTCAAATATGATAGAGTTGCTGAGGGCAGTAAGAGTTTCCTAACACGAGTCTGGAACAAGAAAAAAGAGAAGGAGCAATCAGTAGATTGCATGACATTGTACAGACTGCCTGAAGTGAAACTGGTGAGATTCCAGAATCTCTGTGATTCAATGGGTATTTCTTATTTTTAAAAATATACTTCTCATCTTTTAGAATAGACTTTAATAAAATACTGTTGGAACTTTTCACAAAAGTTCATCTCTCAGGTGGTAGGAATGGGGTCAGATAATCTACTCAGAGAGGTAGGGAACCTGCCTGCAGAAGCTTGAATCTTCTTTCATGGCACTAATTCTCTTGGGAACTGAAAATTTTTAAAAAGTGGTTCCCTTTCTTCAGTTAAAACCCAAAAAAAATACATTTCAGTGAATTTGGCTGTACCTTTTGAGGTTCAGTACCCACATATATACAGATATATATTATCTAAAAAAACACACATAGTAAATACCTCAATATGCCTATTACATGATTAGTATAGAGTTTCCAATTAAAAAGTTGATTTTTAGCCTTTAGTGAAATTAAAGGTAGAATTCAGACATGTAATGTGAGCTAGAAGTCTGCTTTAAAATTGCTACCTTCTTAAATATGTCTTCAGCATAAGCCCTATTTTTGTACAGTCACAAATCCAAAAGGACTATATTGCATTTTAGTGAATCATTGCAAAAGTAGCTAGCTATGTTTTTGCTGTTCATTTCTTGCTTTGAAATCAGCTTATACTAAATAGTTTTAGATCAGTCTGCATTTCTTAAAAAGAAAAGTAATGCTAGAAAGATTTTTTAAAATCTGTCAGCAGGAAGACAACCTCGTGATTTCCAGTGTCTTCCTTCTTTGTAAACCTTCCCTTTGGCAGCCTGTACAACAATGGGAATGAAGCTCTAGGAACAACAGTTTGGAGGCTTCTGAATATTATTCATACTTGCAGAGCATGGAAGATACATTATGCCCATTTTATTTTTAGGAACAAGATCTATTGCTACAGAGCTGTCATAAGGCATTAAGGCAGTTTGGATGGGGGAACTCTGCACAGTGTGGCTGCAGAGATGACAGACTGCAAACCTCAGAAAACTGCTATTAGGCTAATTGTGCATTGTGCTGCTCAGTGTCTGTCACCTTACAGTATGTTTTGGACTGTCTGGGACAGAGTGTGTCATTCTGCTCTCTAATTTTCTTTTCCTCATAACTGGCTAAGTTCCTATTGCAAGAGGAGTGTTGCTAGGTGATGAGAAGAGAAATAACTCTATTTTGGTCTCACTTCATTTTTTCCAGCTAAAGGCTGAACAGAGCATTTGGAACAGTGACTGTACCTTGTCTCTCATGATTTCTTTAGCCTGGAAATATGCTGGAACTCAGATGCCTTATAACTACTTAAGCTCTTTACTATTTATGTGCTTGTGTCTGGCATAATGTGAAAATATTTGTGGTAGGAAAATGAGCAAAAATATAATTCCTAAAAATAATATTAGTAATTAGCTCACTGAAATGACCTAGATATGTTAAGATAGGTGAGCACTGTAAAGTTTTTTACAGAGTGGCTTATGTGAATCAATTATTCACATGGTAAAGCAAGCAATGCAGGATTAGAGACTGCATGTGTGTATGAATATACACTATTTCTATACACATTTCTCTCTCCCTGACACATCCCTTTAGCTTGCTTCAGTTGTGATGTGATCCAACAAGACATGTTTGATGTAGCATTAAAATCTTAAAAAATGGGCTTTTCAAAACTGTCATTCATTTTGTCAAAAGCAGTTTCAAAGAACTGCTTAGTAAATCCCTGTACAGTTTCTATTTCCCTTATTCCCACAGATCTGACACTGACTTTTTTTAAAGTCTAGCAAAATACTGTATTTAAGTTCCCTGTCTGCTGCCCTCACCTTCCCTTGTTAACTGTAAACCCTTTTAAGTGTTAACTGAATTTTTTTGCGGCTTGTCTAATTTTTCCATCATCCATCCTGGATGGAAAAATCAGGTATGGTAACTCTTTCTCTCATACTTTTACAATGAATTGACTGAATATAAAAAGCCTGAGTAGTATAGGTATCTGAACTGGGCATAGAAGTCTAAAAGAGCATGATTTTGTGCATACACAAGCAGTCATTCATTACTTCCATTGCTACCTACAAGATGTGAAAAATATCTCCTATTAAAAAGGAAGGACAATCCTGTAAAACACCAGGAAATAATAATAAAATTTTGTCTATTGTGGAATAAATGAAGGCTGACCCTTATGTGTCTGAGTTATGGGATGGTCACATTAATACTACAGCACTAAGGTACTTCATTATTTCATAACCTTAACCTGAGGAATATGAGACATAAGTGACCTTGCTTGGTGTTGCAGCCCTACCTTAATGACCCTTGCACAGGAGCTAAGTCAAGTGCGTGTGTGGCCTCCAGCTCAGTAACTGCATTTGCAGGCTGGGAGAGTGGCAGTATTTTTTAGGCTTGAGCAACAGCTGGAGTTTGTGGGCTGGGGCAGGCTGGCTTCTCTGTCTGAGCTGACAGCTGTAAGGATAGTGCTCTGGCTCCTTGGATAGTAGCAGTGAGGCTTCGATGGCTTTTGGTACAATAGCTGTTGCTATGCAGTTTTGTTGCAGCTCTTGCTGAGGAACTGAACTACTGTGTGCTGAGGGCTGCTTCTCCTCCCCTCTGGTTTTCTGATATTCTGAGTCTGACTAAACTGAGAATAATAAGCATTGGTGTACTCAATCCACTATTTGTCCAGAGCCTCCTTTTTTCCTCAAACTTGCAAGAAACTCTTCCTTTGAGTAACACCTTTTGTGGTTGGTTTAGTTCAAATAGATGAATGAGATGATAGCTCCACTGGTTGCATTTGTTTTGCTTTACTGGCCTCTGCATGACTCTAAAACGTGTCCCAGTTTTTTCTGTTATATCCTCTCCTATCAGCCTGCTCTTGCCATCCCATCTTAAATTATGCAATATTAATCATCAATGTCAGGGCAAAGAATAAAAACCTAACACTGCTTTATGCATTCAGAGTGCTCTAAAATACTTTCACATAGTGCTGTACCTCTCAAAGGGGTGTGAGAGGCATATTTCCAGTATTCTGTTGGGTAGAGAAGTTAATGTACAAGCAATAATGCAGTCCATAGTCTACAGAGCAACTAATGCACATTTCATGCATTCCTTAATGCTGACATCCATATGAGCACAGGACAGAACATTGCAATAAGGTGCATAGGGAAGAAAGAAAAATAAATGTCCCAACTTCTCTCTGCTTTCTGCTTCTGTTCCCTATATTTTCCCTAAAAACTTAAACCCTCAAAATTATTCTCTGTATGCTGGTCCCTCTCATTTTCCACACTAAATTATCCTTTCTTGCTAATACATGGAAAACTGAACTCTTCTTGTAAATGTGGCAGTGGTGAGATGTACTGCCTTAGAGTGAACAATGGTGAGTTTGAGAAAGGGCTTGAACTAGCTCATGAAAGATTTTCTGGTTTTACCGTTGATCTTCTGGGCATGTTTGAAAATATTTTCTTTTGAGGAAGTTAGAAAAAGTGCTGTAGCTATAAGTCAGAGCACATGAGGAGAGAAATGTTTGCAAGAGCAAAATGTGGTTCCTAACCACGTGAAGTTCAGAAGCATGCAGTTTATTTTCAAAGTGATGTGGGGTGTGGAAATCTAAGGTGATGCCTGTGTTGAAGAAGCCATGCAGTGGTACGTCAGCGAGCAGCACATGAAGCAGTTGGAGTACCTTGAGGTGGTCTAGTCTCAGCAGCCTGAGGTTTCATCTGTGTTAGCTTTTTCAACTTAGCCAAGACATTTTTAGAAATGTTCATTCAAAATGTTTAGAAATGTTTAAAAATATGTATGAATTACTAGGAAGATGGTTTCAGCATAAGTTTTGAAAAATCTTTCCCATACAATTTTGAAGATTGCCTTTGGACAGTTAAGTAGGTATATAGATCTAAAATGGCAGATAAAAATAAAATTAACCCAATCAGCTCTGGATGAGATTCAGTGCAGTGCAGCTGCAGCAACAGAAAAGCAGTACCCCTCTGAGTTAATATGTAAAGCTGACTAGGAAAGAAGCACATACAGAATACACTGGACTTTTTCTGAAATGTGCTTCACCCTTCCAGATGTGGCTGTAGGTCTCTTCACTGTTGAGGCAACTTCAGCCCAATCCTAATGAGGTTTGAATCAGAAAAACTCCACTGATTTGATTGGGGTCGTGTCAATTCATGCAGCTGTGAATCAGACCCCTTATCTGCTTTAATTCAGCATCTTCATGTTTTTCCTGTAAGTGTCAAAAATTTGAGTCACAGCTCTTTACTGAAGCTGCTGTTTCATATTCCTGTAATCCAATTTATATTACAGAGTTGAAAGATTTTTTTTTGGATCATCTTTTCTGCTCCCATTTCCTTTGAAATGCAAACATTTCCTGTATTTAACCTTAGTCTTTTAAAAATGTTTTTGTATCTTAATGGAAACTGGCATGATATTATTCATAGTTTTCAAGTATTTATATTACTATTGTTTATCATGTCCTTTTTGGGTAGACAGGAGGTGTTTATGAAAACTGTTTATGTATTTGATTTGTGGAAGAATTCATGAATAGTTACATAAGTTGTTACTGGAGATACAAAAATAATAGATCAGATGATCAGATTTGGTCCTGATGAAAGCTGTCCTTCTGTCTTTTATTTTTTTTTTGGTGAGAATTCCCAGTGCTTAGATAGACTGTCTCCAAACTTTCTTGGAAAAGAAACTATCTCATAGCTGATCTAACCTGGGTAAAGTCATCTACAGTGTAGGTGATAGAGCCAGAGAGAGAGAGATGGAGAAATGGGTAGGATTTCCCAAACAGGTTACCTAAATACTTATTCAGACACCTCAGTAGAGGAGAAGCCTGATTTTCAGGAGTGCTCAGCTCATTTTTTCAGTGGAGGAGAGTGTGGAACATGGTGCTGATAAAGGTAATACTGATCATAAATAAAGAGTGATTGATGTTCCTAATGGAAAGACACATTCTGTGTTTCTAAGGAAACACTGGGCAACTAGAAGGGAAGTCAAAGAGCTGGTGGTTGGGTTGGCTTGGCTTTGGAAGGACAACCTTGTATGTGCAAGCCATGGCAGAGAGAAGATCAGGTACATTCTGGTTTGGAGAGGAGCTGGATTTTCTATTGGGCTGTATTGCATGCAGGGCCGGTCTGTCATGCTTGTTTGGTGAATGGGAGATGGAACTTTGCACATGTTTCAGAGCTAGGTACAGGCAAAGATAATTTCTTATCTGTTGTTTTACAACAGTCAGCATCCTCTGGACAAGTTGCTTTTTGATTCAGCTGTGTGGAGATTGTTTTTCACAGTCCTGGCTGCTTACAAATGGAGCATTGACATTGGCAGCTTTTACCCTGCTGTTGGCACTGACACCTGTTTTCCATGGGCTATTTTCTGTCTGGTTTGCTTCTGAAGAAGGTGGCCTGGACCTCTTGCCTTCATGTGTTTCTAAAAGCTTTTTTGCAAATCTATCTCTGTCTTCCTGGGCATGTGGAAGACAAAGAGACAATTTAGGCTGCACTTAAATATGCAATAAATTGTGCAATAGTGTAGACTAAGTTCAATGAACTTCAAGATAAATATGAATAATTTTAAAGCTTTATATGTGTTTCAACACTTTTTAGTAAACAGCACTTAAGCTTTGCAGTTAAATGGTTCTTCCTCTCTGTACTAAGACATATTTTGATCTTCTGTCTACTCACCCTAAAATATAAAGGATTTCTTTGTTTTAATATGTACAAGCCGTGGTCAGTCCTGGGTCCTTAGCAGTTCAGCAGCAGTAGCATTGCATCAGGAATAAAAGGAGAATTTTGTAATAAAATAGATCTATCTGTTCCTTGATGCTGTGTGAAATAAATTTATCAGTTTTTATACTGGAGAAGCTAATTTTAAATTCTTTGATGAGGTTTATTCTCACAGTGAAGCTGAACACTAGAAGTCACCAAAGAGAAGTCCTCTGTATTTGTTTCAGGGAAGAGAAGAGTATTCTTTACACAGAAGAACTAAAGAATTTGGCTAAAATATCTGCTATACAAAACAGATCTCATATCTAGGTAAAAAGCCCAAATTTGTGAAGTTGTTTATTCATGCTATGCTTACATTCACTAGTATTCTCATATATCCTTTCAGAGCTGTGGAGTAATACATTATAGGTTTAAAATACTAAAATAACAAAATAAATCCACTTTGAGTATGGGATTTGTGGTGTCTCTATGTCCATTATGCAAAGAAAACCCCCTTGGACATAAGTTTCCAGCTCTTGAAAATCAGCAGTTCACTGCAATCAGAAGGAAATTACATTGTTGATTCACAGTGGCATTGGAGGCTTTTAACCTACCTAGACACTTTTTAATACTTTGGTTTAGTATATGATTTTGTACATTAGTCTCTTGCTTCAAACAAAGAAAGTCTTCCATACACTGAAGACATTTATGCCTATGTTTCCAGTCCTGCAGTGGCTGGTTATGGATGTAGGATAAGACTACATTAACCAAAGAATGTCAAGATATTCGTCCTTGGCTGGTTCTCCTTCCAGATCTGTAAAATGGTACAATTACTAATGCTTAGGCAATGTCTAAAGAAGAATCAAATAAAACTGATAGTATTGCACTTATAATAATGGTATTTTGTTTCCCTTTTTTCAGGTGGTCAGGCCTGTCCTGTTATTCTCTGGGATTCCTCACTGAGTCCAACAGATAATAGTACCCATTCTTCAGTGAGGTTAACCTGGGGACAATATCAGCAGCTATTGAAGAAGAAATGCTGGCAGAATGGTAAAGTTCCCAAAGCTGAGTGGGGCTGTACTGAAATTCATCATCATGAATGGTCCAAGATGGCACTCTTTGATTTTCTGTTGCAGGTAAAATATTTACTGAACACAGCTATTCGCCTCATAAGTCATGTGATCAAACATAGGACTTTGAGAAATAGTAATTTTAGTGTGTTTAATTTTTTTTTTTAATAGGAAAGAGAGGTATTTGCATAGTTTGAAATTATTTCTGGTCATTTCTTATGATTAAAATATCCAAAATGCAGCCTATAATTAGGCAGGAAACCTAACTGACTCATTTCTTTTTAAAGAGGAAGCAAAGGCTTTTGCCTTGATTTATTTCATATTGAGTCAGGTATACTGTTTCTCCTTCACTCCTTGTTTCTCCAAACAGAGATCTTGACTGTGTTCACAACTGTAAATCTCTGTTTACTCTGTGGTCCTTCCTGCACCTCCCCAGCCCCAAGAGGTGACTGAAGTGGTTTTGGTGAGCTGCAATCTGGAGCAAGGTAACAGTTGTAGTGGATAATTTTTCCTTTTTTTTAAAAAAAAAAACCCTAGACAGTGACTTAGTAAAGAAGGAGTAGAACAGTGACTGATGAATGATAAATCTGCTGTTCTATTATTCAGAAGGAGGGGTTGGTTAAAATAAGATACAACAGGATTGCACTTCACATGACAGGAGACAAATTACTCTTGTACTAATAGCTGGTATCAGAGGGATTTATATCTCCTGTTGCCTACCAGACAAGAACATGCATTCCAGAAAGTGAGTGAAACTGACTCTCATAGTTCTTAAAGATTACAGTTTTATCTGTGTGCTCTCAAAGTTTATCAGCAGCAGAATATGAAAATTTGAAAAGAAAAAAAAGCCAAGAAATGTTTTAGTATCAAGAAAAATAATAGCTGTGCTTCATGAGTCATTCAGAAATAAAGAATAATGGTGAAGAGTATTCTCTGTTAAGCGTAATTCCTTCAGAAGAATAGGTTTGGCACTTCTAGTAGATCTTCCTAATCTCTGGTTTCAAATGTTATACAACATAGGAGCAGGATATAAAATGCTTATAGTTGACCTTTACTTGCCTCCTGCAAGAACTCAAGCAAAATGGATTCTTTAATTTTGGGGGTTTGGACCTCTTATGTGCATAAATATATGACAGAAGATTCTGCCAAACTATATGAATCAGTTCCAGAGTGTTCCATCATTATATCTTAGCACTGAAATGTGCAAGAAATTGTGAAGAGGCTGGCTGTAAGAACAAGATTTCCTTGTCTATTTAATGCATGCAGAGAAGTGCAAAGGAATGGGGTCTATACATCAAAGCAGTCTTTCTAGAAGGACTCTGCTTTACTTTTTTACCTTTGGATGGATTGAATAAGAGATCCCAGGAGAGAGAACACTGGAAGAAAGGGGGGTTCTATAGCCTTCAGATAATGAATGCTGCTCATGAAAGGAGAAAGAGGAAGAGAAGTCTGTTCCTTTCCTCAGGATTTTGGTGTTTGGAAACAAACACTGTCAACAATACAACTAGAAATAGAACTACGTATAAAAAAACCCAAACAAAATCAAAACAAACCCAATTCTCAGACTTTCATTTGATTAAAGAGGTGACCTTTTTATTTCAACATGCAACAAAATTCTGCATAGGATGAGGTCCTAATTTTGCTGGGAAGTTACAACAATAAAATTGTAATTTTAGAAGGCTTACGTGAACAGTAATGCTTTTATGCTTAGAGCAGTTTGAAGAATTAACAGTAAACAACAAAGGACAGAACAAATGATTGACCTTTGATGAGCCACTCATCAAGTCTTATATGCACCAGACCAGTGCATAGAAGTCTTATATGCACAGACCAGTGCACAGACCACAGACTGCTCTCCAAACTCCTGTTAGCAGGAGCAGGTCTGCTGTCTGGGAAGATGAGCTGGAGCCAAAGGCAGCTCCAGGACAGGCAGGGTCAGCAGCAGGAGAGGCAGGCCAGCAGGAAGGATGGTGAAAGCCAAAGGCCCTATTTGTAGCCCTGTGAGCATCAGGCATAGACAAGACAGCTCCAGGACTGACAGGCAGGAATCTCAACCAACAACCCAGGAACAAGCAGCACAAAACACCTCCCACATCCCCTCCTCTACAGGACTCAGAGGGGGAGTTAAAGGGGGCCTGAGCTTAAAGGGGGCTCCTGTGCCCAGGGGCAAAGTCCAAGGTGAAGGCTTTTAAGGGCAATCCAGGCAAATTTGTGTGATCAGAGCTGTAGCAATGTTGAATATTTACTCTCATCTACTCTCAAGGGGTAGCAGCACTTTCAAGGAGTGATTTATCCTTCCTATATTAGATGGTTATCCTAAAATGGGCATTCATTGCTCTGAATGTGCCTTGTTCTTGTCACTGTTCATGAAAGGGAACAGAAACGACCAAGTCAAAAGAGATGCCTAACATTTACACCACCAAAATTAGTCCAGATTTATGTATTCTTTCCAGCTAAGTGCTGTGTGATGAATAATTGAGGTTTTGCATGGGAAAAAATAGTTTAGACCATCATGTCATCAAAGTGTATACCACAGGGAGGCTGCTCTGTGGTTATAAATACACTGTTCTTACAGTGTAAGAACAATTTTATAGCTTTTGATGGGTTTTTGTGCCCCTCACTGATCTTTTCAGTTTTTTTGCATACTGTTGGCCTAATAGATCTCACAAAATGAAGATCATCCTCTATGTGTGTCAGACTCTGCTATTTTTATTGTTCTCCAGCACAGAAAATGTAAAAAAAAAAAAAAGAAAGCTTCTGACAAAGAAAATAGAATTGTATTCACCATCTTGTTATTCCAGTTACACAGTGGTATTGTTCCATTATTTTCAAAGAATTTCTACTGACATAATAGATCATGGCTAAAATGGATAAAATACACAGTATGAGAAATTGCTTTTAGCAGTACCTGAGATGTGAGGACCAGGTCTTCAATGCTGTTTCACTGTTTTTAATTACACTTGTCTTGAGCCTGCTTTCCTGTCAGCTGGGTTAGAGAGCAATGTCTTACAGTGACACTTTGCCCCAAGTACTTTGGTATTGTTTTCACTTGGCACTCTGCTCTACTTTGTTTTAGATCTATAATCGACTAGACAGAAATTGTTGTGGATTCAAACCTCTCAAGGAGGATTCCTGTATGCAGCAAGGACTGAAGCTGAAATGCAATGATCAGGATGCTGTTGACCTGACACACATCGTTCAGAGAAGGCATGACCAAAGGCACTTGGCCTTCATAGACAATAAGGGTTTCTTTGACAGAAATGAGGACAATCTTGACTTCAAAATACTACAAGGAATCAATGAGTAAGTTTTAAATTATCAATTTTGTAAAAGGATTAATAATTTCTTCCCAGTTTGAGTTTGAGAAACTAAGCTACTGGAATAGATATCATTGGCCCAAGACATTGACAGGATGTATCTAAAAATGTATGAGTAATCCCACAGCTGTAAAAGATACAATTAACATACATATGATTAGGCATGCATAGACTTCCTTTGCTGAGTTGCAGCCTATATTCTTAGAATTGATTGCTAAACCACAACATAAATACTGCAATTCAGAGTAATGGCAAAACCTGATGAATTTCTTTGTGATTTTCCAGATTCCCTGCATCTGCAGTTTCAGTGCTGAGGAGCCAGCGTTTACGTGAGAAGTTGCTCCAGTCTTTGTTCCTTGACAAAATATACTGGGAGAGCCAAGGAGGCAGAAAAGGAATTGAAAAGCTTATTGATGTAATAGAAAGGAGGTCCAAAATTCTTCTTACTTATATAAATGCACATGGAGCCAAAGTATTGCCCATGAATGAATGAATGAAACAGTCTTGTTTCCATCTGAAAGAAAGTCTTTAAAAATGTTTTATGGGGCAGAAACTGACAGTAAAATTGATTTAATTCATAGCATTATTTTTTTCCCAAACTTTCAAGTTTACTTTTAAATAAGAAATTTTTCATGGTTTAAAAGCAACATTTAAGTGTCAGCTGCACCTTAACACAGTGTAGTCTCTTCTATGTCACCAGTGAAATGAAAATAACCAAATGATAATATGCAGTAATATGGAGATACCATGAACACTCTTTCTATTGAAGTGTTTGGAAATTAGCAGCAGGATTTTCAGTACATTACGCTGGATTGCTCTTATTTCCCTCATTGAAGTCAGCAGATTTTATTGCGAGTTTAAATGGGAAAAGAGATGTGTAAGCACCTGATACATTGATGACACTAGCTGAAACATATATAGTACAGGAATTTGTTCATTTATTAAGTATTCTAAAATGCCAACATTTCCAAGGGCTTCTTTTACTTTATTTCATTTTGATCTTTTGGAATATGAGAACTAAATTCAACTCTTTTAGATGCAGAAGTGTTTGCACTGGACATGAGGGAATTTTAAAACAGACTAAGGAGAACATGGCTTTAGCAGTAATGCTTATTCTGACAAATACAGTTTTTACTTGTCCAGTATGGAGTACAATTCATCATGAGTCACTCATTGCAATGTATTTTTTTCAATGCAATTTGTTCTGATGTGGGGGTGGATGATCTGATATTTTCTGTTTAATGATTAACTGTGTATTTAAAACAAAAAAAGCTTTATCTTTGTGTGAATATGCTGCTAACTAAGTACATGTTTTATTTTTGCAAAAACCTTGACAGTAGTTTTTGAGAATATTATCAAAAAGCAGAACTCCTAACTAGACTGTTGTTAAACCCAGCAGAGAAAATGTTTATTCTGTGCGCTCAGCTCTAGCCAGCAATTCAAGCTTGGGTTTCCATTAAGATTGACCACTGTGGGGTGATGATTGTAACTGAGAACTTGCCCCAAGTGTTCTCACAAGTGTGGTTGTTAGGGGAGGTTGGATAAGTGCTTGAGATTTTTACCCTTGAAAAGCTCCAAAAAGTAAATATCGATTGACACAGCCTATCATCACATCCATCTTCTACCTGACTGTCTAGAAACACTCTTACCATCTTTCTAGAGAAATATCATCTTTTTGCCATGAGGTAATGGTAGAAGTTGGATGCTTTCACAGCTACTCTTGTCTTTATGTGTTGTAAAAATATATAGGGTGTGAAAGAATATTGAAAGTGCATGTGTAATGTTATTAATGACAAATTAAAATGTCTCATGTCGCTGTTAATGTGGATGGGTGAATTTAATGTTTTAAATAACTACAGTTCCACTGAAGCTAAAATCAGTTTTCTTTCTTAGTATCAGAAAACCAATTAACAATAATTGCATTACTAGAAGAAATAGATCTCATTATAGGCAGTGTTAGTAAAATTTTAAGACCTTAGTCAGCCAAATAATCTTTTATTTTATTTTGTCAGCAAAGGACAGTTCAATTTATTAAAACTTCCTAGAACTTAACTATCGCCTCAAGAGAATGTGTTTTAGAGTGCCTTGGACTTTTTAACACCAAGGTAGAATTTTACAGGATTTTGAATTCATCCCTTTCTTTAAAGTGTTGTTACTCATTAGCCAGATAACTTTCATCACAGAAACAAAAATATTGCTTTGGCTTGTACTGTGAGCAGAGTCTAGAGAAATAAATAATCATCAGGATACATTTCACATGGAATTCCTGTTGCAGTGGATTTCACTCTGTGGTAGCCATCACAATCAGTTTGTCTCATTTTCTAGCCTGTCTCACAGGTTTCTCCCTGCTAGATACCTGTTCTAGCAATCAAATTTATAATCCCTCACTGCTGGGAGTGAGAGAAAGGCATGACTCTCAGCTGCACTGAACTTAGGAGAGGGCCCAGCAGAGTTGTGAATGTAGCTGATTATGACAAGGTCCCATGAGAACTTTTTCTTCTATCTTTAGACTGCACATCCTGATGCTGAGTCATTGCCCAGTTGTAATTTTTTTCCAGAATTGGCTCATTGCTGAAGAAGACAAGAAAATCCATTATCTTTCCAGGCTGGATAATTTATTTTTTATGCTCATAACTTGATGCATTCTTCTCCATTTCTTCTGGACGTGGACTAGTGTTTCCTTGAGCATCATACATGCTTTTTTATTTGCCTGGCAGTTCAGTGCCAGCTCTTAAAGCAGCAATATAATTGCCTTTGAAATTGCCCTGAAGCTGACTTGAACCAATGCCTTTCAGTAGTCCTGGACTCAAGAGAACTGAGTAGTCACAATGCTGTGCATTACTTAAAAATCTGACCAAGTATGAAAAGCGTAACTGTAAAAAGAAAAATTTCTGGAGACTTTCCAAGGGCAAAGAAATACTCCCTATGCTGTGTTAGCATGCCATATTTCATGTACAAACACTCTTGTAGTCTTCAGGTAAGCCAGGAGACTCTTTTTGAAATTGGACTGTGAGACAGGATTGCAGGTTGCTTCTAGTTCTCTCATGTTGGTAACAAACTCCAGAAAGTGCTTTTTATCTTGCTTCTGTGGAGCTTGATATGTAATTCAGTAATGTTAATAATGCAAAATATGATTGCAATAGCTCTTATGAATGCATACTAGCCAAGTTCTAGCATTTTTAAAAATAAAAATGAAGAATTCTGTATTTTTTGAGTGCATTTGCATAAATGATATAGTAAAAAATACAGAAGAAGCACTTTAAGTTTGTTTATTCTCTGCTACTACATTTAAGATACCTGCCTCAGTAACAGGGGTAAAGTTTATTGGAAAATTGGTTCACATCCTTTGGAAGTACCATGACTTTGGACTGACAGGAACTGCACTGTAGCTAAAGTAATATCAACTCAGAGGAAAAATCCAGAAGAAGCCTTATTCAACCTATAATGATTGATAGAAAGCCACGAAACTGTGCTTCAGTCCTCTTTGCTGGGCTGTCTTCCATTTCTGGGCATTTGGGATCAGACAAGTATTCGTGTTGCACATTACGTGGAAGGGTGTAACCAACAGCAACAGTGAAAACCTGTGGGTGGGAAAAGGCGATTATGTCATTCTTGAATCTGCCTGAAAGCCAGAACCACATGAAGTGGAATTACTAAGAAAGTCAGAAGAGTTTGCTCTCAAAAGAGTTTGAGATTTCATAACACTGGAAGACAGAGCTTAAAATAAGTAGTGCAGGCACAGATGCCTTAAAATTCCTTGGGAGCCTGCCAGCAAGTTAATAGTCTTAAATGTTCCAGAAGCTGAGGACATGAAAACTGGGGAGCACTGTGAGAGCAGTTTCTTTCTTTTCTTGTGTGGGTATTCTATATAACACCATATTAAAATAAATAAATAAAAAACCAGATTAATTCTGTGGTTTCAAACTTACAAATGCAGATTCAGGGTACATTAAGGGACAAGGCTCCCACAGCAAACCTGGGAACACTTTCATGCATATATGTGGATGCAGACACAAAAATACTTGTACATGTATTTATACTTTGGCTTTTTCTATAAAATGGTCAATTTGGCTAATAAAGAGTGAGCTGTTTATATAATTTACTGTTTACATGAAGAATTGTATTTGTGAGCCTAAGTCCAATTTTTGGTATACACAAGTTGAAGTGTAAACAAAATAATAGATGAAACTTTTGTCCTCAAAGGATTAACTCTTCCTTTGCTAGCACATTTATATTATCTTAAAAGTTTTTTACTGACAGTTGTAGAGTAAAACAGCAGTATGTATCTGTGCTAAACTTCCAGAGTGATATCAACTCAGATTTTTAAAAATGTTTTATACTAGATATTGAATTTACATTTTAGTTTGGAATTTGTGAATTTTTAAAGTCTATTTGTACTTTAATCAGTAACAGTAACAGTATTTTCACAGGTAATGACTCATTTGAATCTCTGCTGCTATTGTCATGTAATATGTAGACATATCCAAAATAAAGAAATATCTGTATCAGATTTTCAGTTCAGATCTCTAAGTTCCAATAAAAGAACCCTAATACATATTATTGTAATATGTGGATCATTAGTTACTGTTTAGAAAGAACTATGGCCTTGAAATTGCTTCTTCATAGAAACAATCCACAACAGATCATAGGAATCTTTCTGTAGAAATATTTTCTAGCTATTTACTCATGAGACTTGCAACTCTTTCTCACTAAGCTGGTTCAGTGTAGCTGTGAATCTTCTGGTTACTACAGCGTGGGTATTTGCTACCTTCTTTAGCCATTCTGACAATAGCCACTTACACAAACATTGAGCAGAAAAGGCCATGCTCATGTATAATGCCAGGACAGAAGCATTGGTCAATGACTTGTAAACTTTCCAACATGCCATGAGCAAACACAGGAATAGCAGAGAGACACTGGACTCCATGTGGTATAGAGACTCACACAGAGTTAAAGTAGCCTAAAAACTTTTGGCCTCTGAAGTTTTTAGTTTTTGTCACGATCCAAGAGAGACTAATGGGAAACACAAAAATGCGGAAACATTTAAAACATTCTGTTTCCCACAAAAAGTAGTTCGTTTTATTGAAAGTATTATTTATTTTTGCACATTACTGCATGCTTCAGGTAAAATTCTGTCACATACATTTGTGTAAATTAATTTCCATTTCACTGAATTATCCCATTTCCAGATAAAACAATTTAAGTCAGTTAGATTAATCTGTATTCTCAGAGGTTGGAGAACTGAACCGTCAGGTCAAAGTGAGGCCTTGGGAGAGTGACATATTAATATGGACAGTTTCCTGAAATATAGCATGAATATAGAACTTAGAATGTAAGTTCTCTAAACTTACATTCTGTGGTATCCAAGAAGGATCTACAAGTGTACTTTGAAGACTTTCAGCCTGTTCCACTTGTATTTCTGTGTGTCAGGACATTCAAAGAGGATTAGATAAATTCAAGGACAACAAGTTTATATATGGACTTTGTAAGAAT